CCGCATCAGCGGGCCAAACATGACGCTGCTATGACAGTCCTGCTGCCAAAGGAAGACCATGTCTCTTTCCATAATTTGCTAAACCGCGTTGCTTCTCTGTATGCTTTGCAAGGTCTGCTTAAATATGCAGGAACTTAGGGAGCGGGGTATTATCACATAGAGCAGTTCAAACACATGCGTTCTTCTTCTTAGCCCAGTGACAGTTGTTTTCAACTCAGGCCCCGGCCACCTAAGCTGTGGTTCTGTTTGATCTTGACATTTGCACTGCCGGAAACAGTCCAGTAACAGCTGAAGCAAACAAAAAGTTAACAGGATCAGAGGGAACTAGAAATAAACCACATTCTCGGACAGTTCAGTTTAAAGCATACAGCCTTCTAGTTTAAAGTGCTTTCTCTAATGAATGCATGCAGAGAGCTCAGCTGTCCTGTAATGTCACCGAAAAGACCACTTAGTATACAGCAGCTGATTATTAATACTAAATCCTTGTTACATGGCAGACTGTGATATGTAATGGCCCGTCATTCCAACCAGAACGCACAAGTAAAATGTGGGTGAAAATATCAGCTACATTTTTCCCCATACTTAATCCAAAGTCAATACTTATAATCTAACTGCTACATTTAAGTAAGATGAGAAGTGACATGAATCTGTAGCAATCTTGAAAGTCATTTTAAAACTTATACTTACTTCCAAACCTATCCTGTTGTGTTCAAGTACCACAGTAGCACTAAATATAAAATCACTAATTGTTCCTACGACATCTGTGATAACTAGACCAACAGGATGACTTGAGAAATCAGCATTATTCTGAATTTCTGTGCCTTCTTTTTTTTGGATCTGAACCTAAGTAGATGTGTCTCAGTATCACCAAGGTCAAATGTGTATTTCCATTGGGTTAACAGTTGGGAATAACTGAGACTTGTTACAGGTCTTCAACCACTCCTGCATTGTTGCCATTACTATTATTAGGAGTGTCCTTTAATGATCAGAGAAATAGCCTGCAGGTCAAAACATCTGTGTTCTGTTTTGCAACGTCAGCACTGACTTCCTGCCCAGTCGGTTCAGTACTCCATGGCTCAGTTTACCTATCTGTAAAATGGGTATGACAATATCTACTTTGCAGGGGTGCTGTAGGTGCAATTAATGTTGTAAAACATTTTGAGAGTTGTGGTGGTGGTGTTGAGGTGTTATTTAATTCCTCTGTGATAGTTTTCCTGCTGAATTTCTAATATGTGGTGTGCTTGAGGGATCCCTAGCATTGACTTCTGGCTGTATTGGGCAATACCAGCATATATAATGACCAGTGAGTACATTATTCGGTCAGATCTCAGACCTCTACTTGAAGGAAACTCCCTCAGTGGTTGAAATCTGAAGTGTTGATCTAGCAAGACCGCTTTTACCCAAAATGCAGTTCTTAAGAAAAGCATACATAACCTAAAATTGTTAGGAAAGTAATAATCCAAGAGAAATTTATTGGAATAAATATTCTTTTGCCATGTTTGCTGCATTGAAGAATTGTGTGAGTGCATTAGATTCTTGCTGAAACTGACAATGAATGTCAGTCTAGCAGCAAAAGCAAAAATTTCCATGTCAAATCCAAGAGAAATGTAAAAGGTAGAACATGAATTATGTAAATGTCTGGGGGCAGAGTTTGAAGATGTTGTAACCTCAGTCATAAAACTTTTATTTTAAAAATACACATCTGGTTATTGAACCTAAGACCTCTCTCAGTGCATAACTCTTTGCATGCTTTACTGCTATCCCTTATCCGTTCATTTATTTAGTCCACTTTAGTCTTCTTACAACCTAAACTATCCACTCTGTAGCACAGATTATCTTTTTATTAACTGTTTGTTTGTGCAGTGGTGTCTGGCTTAATGGAATCCTGTTATTTGACTCATGCCCAAGTAACTACTGCAATAGCAACAGGATTAGCCTGGGAGCCATCATTAAAATGGCAGTGTAGTTGGTCATAGCTACATTCGGGTAGGCTCCCAAGCAGAAATTTAAAGTCCGATCCATAATGCCAATTCTGTTTCACAGGGGTTTTTTCTATAGAAATGTTATAGCTTTTTTGGGAAAACTTGAAACGAAACATAAAACAACAACAAAAAGGTTTTTAAAAGCCATTTTTAGGAAAAAATGTACAGTTCCTAAAATCCAAAATGTCACACCAAAATGTTCATTTTTTTTGTTTTTCATCAACCCTGGGAAGTTCTGACCAAAATAAAAAGTGTCTGCTAAGATGTTGATTGCTTTTAAAACACCAAAAAAAAATCCCAACTTTGTCCGAAAAAATATTTTGACAAAACCATTTCAGCGAGCTCGACATACAACTTCAAGGTCTCCAAAGTCACTTTCCACCTTTCCTCACTGACTTTCTCTGTGGTGGCTGGCACATAATCTCTCCCCTTAATCGATTTCCTTTTCCATTGCTTCTCTCCTCCTGGCTGGCCACTGTCCTTATCTTACACTTTACCCACTACCTTTCCTGGCAGCTTTTCCTAATCAATTCCCCAGACTCTTGCTTATCACATCTGAGAGCACAGCATTTTCCGTCATATATGGTTAGACCCCATCCAGTGCCAACCCTTCCACAAATATTCCTCTAATACCATTGTGAATGGAATATTCACAGCAGCTAGTCTGTTTTATAAATATGTAGGTGAAGTCTCTTAATGTTGATGATCTCACTATATGTTATGGATTGTATGAAGCATTATAGGGTATTGAACCTGGGTAGTAAAGCAGGTATGTTTGGGTTAGTCACTCTGGAGGGTAATTTTTAAACTAGTTAAGCCATAGTGACTCAATGTGTTTTGCAAATTCAGATTATCTCTCAGTTAATTTATCTGTCCTATAAAACTACTTTGACGTCTTAAAAAGTATGCATTAGTGAGCGTCGCAAAGTACCTGTTGCGTGTTCATAATACAGGTTGAACCTCTCTAGTCTGGCACTTTCGGAACCAGACCTGTGCCAAACTAGAAAATTTGCCGGAGGTCAATATTGTCTAGTAGCATTACCAACACTGCCACTGCTCACTCGGCTTTTAGAAGACATTGAGGGGTAAATTAGAGCTAAGTCACAGCACAGAACGCTGAGAACCAGGGCCTAGTGGCTGAAAACAAACTTTATGGGAAACTTGGCCACGCCCATGATAAGTGGCCACCCAACTAATTCAAATCATGCTGGACCACGGATGTTGCCGGACTAGAGAGGTTCGACCTTTACGATAAAAGCCTTTTTAATAAGCATGCTGGTGGAATGGGGGGTGGGAAGTGGAGTAGCCAGTAGATTACAAATGAGGGTTAACTCAGAGGAGTTTGTAGTGGGGGGATATGGGCAGAGGCATGGGAGGGGCGGTGGGTTTCCATAGGAAGAAGTGTAGCTCTTACCTTTAGCAGAGTGAATGGTGCCATTAGAGTACTAAACTATTCACAGGTGCTGAGTTCCCAGGGGGGTGCTCCACCCTCCAGTCCTGTGCCCACATCATCCCTTTCTCCAAGCCCCACTCCTGCTCTGCGTCTTCCTGCCCACCCTTGCTCCTTTCCTCCCCCCTCCCGCCAGGGCCTCCTGCACATGGCTGAACAGCTGATCCGCGGGAGGTGGAAGGCACTGAGATGGAGAAAGCAGGGGGAAGAGCTGATCAGTGGGGCTGACAGTGGTTGCAGAGCACCCACGTTTTGTCCAGCCCCAAAGCTCCTACGGATAAAGATCACCGTGAAAGTCAATAATACTGCAAGTTCAAATTACTTAGAATTGTCACAGGCCTACGCTAAAATTCGCCTCTGTATTGTCTGTGCAGTTTTTAAGAAGTATTACCACCATGAGCAACAAGGAGACCGTTACTTGGAAAGTAGCCGTGCTGACCTAATTCCAAGCCTCAGCATCAATACCAGCTTCTTGATGAATTCATCGGCGAGCAGGTCTGTGTCGCTGGATAACCAGACGGGCATGAGTGATGTCGTGCACTATGGACGCGAAACTGCCGTCCTCAGTCTCATGTTGATGTTGGGAACCCTGTGGCTCGGGCACACGCTGTATCAGTTTAAGAAAAGGTGAGTAGACTTGATTCTGCGTGACCCTCTGGAAACGCGTGCGCCGTCGTATCCCGGTCTCGAGCCGCGGGGATGTCTGCCCTGCAGTTAGACCAGGTTCTAGAACGGGGTCTAGAAAGGGGCTTCTGCGGGTTGATGCAGCCCACAGCTGCCCTGCTGCTCCTCTGCCCCCAGGCCAATCAAGACCTAGGAACGGGGGAGCTCGCAAGGTCTCCTCTCCCCACTAGGGGTGTACGGCACCAGAGCGAACCGCGTGCCCCTAGTGGGGCGGGGGAGCTAGATACTATGTCCGCTCCCCTACCCCCAGGCCCTTCCCAGCAGTTGGGAAGCGCGGCGCAGCAAGGGGAGGCGAAGTGCCTCCTGAACTAAGAACTTAAAAACCTCTAACATAAGAACGGCCGTACTGGGTCAGACCAAAGGTCCATCTAGCCCAGTATCCTGTCTGCCGACAGTGGCCAGCGCCAGGTGCCCCGGAGGGGGTGGACCGAAGACAATGATCAAGCGATTTGTCTCCTGCCATCCCTCTCCAGCCTCTGACAAACAGAGGCCAGGGACACCACTTCTATCCCCTGGCTAATAGCCTTTTATGGACCTAACCTCCATGAATTTATCCAGCTTCTCTTTAAACTCTATTATAGTCCTAGCCTTCACAGCCTCCTCTGGCAAGGAGTTCCCTGTGTAATGACACCCCTCCCCCCATCGTCTTTTTTCCAACTGAAAACTCCCAGTCTTTTTAATCTCTCCTCATATGGAAGCTGTTCCATCCCCCTGATGGTTTTTGCTGCCCTTCTCTGAACCTTTCACCATTCTAATACATCTTGTTTGAGACGAGGTGACCGAAACTACATTTAGAACTCTGTCGACAAAAGGCGTTATTCCTCGTAGAATGAGGTTTACTACCGTTGACAAAACTGTCGAGTTCTGTTGACGTTATGTCGACAGAACTCGGCGGTAATGTAGATGCAGGTATAGTTTTGTCGACAAAAGTCCACATTTGTCGTCAAAACCCTGTAGTCTAGACACACCCTGAGTGGTTGTTTTCAGAGAACTATCCACAGTGACTCAAATCTTTCTCTTGAATGGTAACAGCTAGTTTAGACCCCATCATTTTCTATGGGATTTTGTTTTCCAATGTGCATTACTTTGCCTTTATCAGCATTGACTTTCTTCTGCCATTTTGTAGCCCTGTCACCCAGTTTTGTGAGATCCCTTTGTAATTCCTCGCAATCTGCACTGGTCTTATCTGGAATAATTTTGCCACTTCACTGTGGATGCCTTTTCCCAAATGGTTTAGAAACACTTTCGAAATGTACCCTACTAGTGTAAATGGGGATTTCCTGGGGTGGCATTTCATCTTGCTTTCCTCCAAAAACATGAAAGGCAGCTAGCTGGGCACCCAACACTCTCTCGGAGTCGATGGGATTTGGTGCTTCTGCTCCTTTTGGGGACTTTGAGAAATTTCCCACTCAGATGGTTAAAGAATGGAAAAGTACTGGAGCTGCATACTGCTGATACAAGCCACATGGGGGGAAAAGCCTAGAAATAACAGGTAGCCATCAGCTCTTGAGGACAGTGGGTGTTTTTCAAAGTCTGAATCTTAAATTTTGTTCCCTTTTGGGGTTCACTGATATTTTCATCAGACTTCAGAGCCTTGATTTCCCATAAATGTGTAGCCTGCTGTTGAGGTTTTAAAAAACTTGTGTGTACATTACATGATGAACAATTTTTTAAAAATAATACTGGGAGTAAAGAATTAATAGCAGAGCGGACTGAGTAGCATTTAGTATAGAGAGTGGCATTACCATGGTAGCAGGAGAATGGAGTATGTTGGATGCTAATGGAAATTTTTTTTTAAATAATTACAGCCCCTATTTGCATGCAAGAGTCCGCGAAATCCTGTCTGACTGTGCCTTACCCATATCCGTTCTAACCTTCTCCATCGTGGGCTCCTATTTCTTCAAAGAAATAGAAAGTAAGTCAGCTTGTTTACGCTTCCAAATTACCAGGAGAAAGACACTTAATGTGGAATTTAAAAAAAAAAAAAGTTTATTACAAAGAACATTAAAATAAAAAAGTGCTGCAGTATCTTGTCTCTTAAATACCATGCCAATGCATGCATAATTATGCCTCCTTCAATGAAAGTTGATTTGTGCATCTACCAAATCAAACAGTATTGCATGTAGTTTCTCAGAGCATTATTGAAGTCTGTTATTTCATTTGAATGTCATTAAAATGTGTATCTGTTTATTAGAAATAGTTGATCCTATTATTCTCCTAAAGAACAAAAGGGCATGGTAATTAGTAGGCAGGAAAGGATGTCGCCAGCTGTCCAGATGTGGTGTTGATGATCTCGCCTTGTTCTTTTAGTCTCCCCTTTATATTTTCCTAATTAAAAGTGTCATGGTCCAAAGCATCTGGGTGATTCTAAGATACACAAGGAAATCTAACAATGATACACCATTCACTGGGCGACTGGATCAGCTTTTCCACATCAGGAAGAGAGACTGGGGACAGGAATTGCATTGACCTATAATGACGTGGGTGGACGATATGAGGAAATGTATGGAAGTAAATAAGAAATGGCTCTTTTGGTGTGATTGTCATTCCATCCAAATGGGCTGAGGAATGGTGAATTGTATAGCGTGTGATCTTTTCCTGAGTGACGATGGATTTCTTGTCACCAGCTGAAGCCAGTCCTGTATTATGCTAAAGCCCCATTGTGCAGCTCATTTGGTGCAAGGGTATTTCAAAAGGCTTATGCTAGCAAATGAACTATGAAGTAGGACTGTACAATGAAGGTGCCTAAAGAGTTCTCATTAGTTCAGATCCAGAAACGTACTGTAAAATCCTACTTCTATAGGAGTGGGTTTGGGGTGTTTTGTTTTATGGTTTTTGTTTGTTTTTGGTTTGGGGAGTTTTTTTTTCTTGTTTTGCATTGTCCTCAACTTAAATTTTCATCTCCTTATAAAATACGAATTGCAGTGTAGCTAGCCATTATCGGTCAGGGCTGCAGTGATCAATGTACTTAAAAAAACCCCAAACCAGTGGATTTATAGATTTTGGCAAAAGAAGGGTCTGTTATGATCCTCTTTGCCTGACCTTCTGCATGACGCAGGCCAGGAAGCTGATGGAGCTTGTGGTTGGGCTAGAACACAAGTTTGCTTCATGCCGGTGACTAGGAAATATTCAGATGCCTCTTTAACATTTTTCCCCCCTGTGTGTTTACAGTGTCCAAATTTAACTACAACCCATCCGAGAGCTTATTTGTGCTGGCCCCGATCCGATCTCTCTCCATTGGCTCTGTAATGAGCGCCATGGGCCTGGGGTTCCTTCTGTCAATGCTTTTCTTCATAGAGCAAAATATAGTGGCATCACTCACAAACGCTCCAGAGAACAGGTAACGTTGTTAACCCCTTTCTTTTCAAAACAAGGCAGCTCTTCTTAGGGCTTGCCTATGTGAACAACTAGACGGTGGCAAGCTGGGGTGTAAATCTACCCTGTCCCCCGCCTTCCTGGTTCTAATTATCCTCCCCCTCAAGGCCCTCCATGAACAGGAGCTGCTCCAGAGGCCTAAAACAGCCCCTGGCCAAGACCCATTGGGCCTGCCACAGACAGAGGCTACTCTGGACATCTGGAGCAGCCCCCTCACTGGGTGATACTTACCGGTTAACCTTTCACATCCCTACTGTTAAAACACACATCAGCAGGGTACAGGGGATGGCTAGTGCGGGGTAAATTCACACTCCAGCTTGCAGGGATCTTGTTCATGTAGAGACGCCCCAAGACAATTTCACTTCAATGCTATATTACTCGTGTTCCGAGTAAAGATGGTCTGGGACTGAATTACGCAGCCTTGCTAGCTCTGTTTGTATTCCCCATCTGTATGTCCATGCCAAGACTCCAAAGTCTTCAGACCTGGAATGGTATTTTATTCCAGTGGCAGAAATACTGCCTCTAGTGATGTACTCTTTTGGGAGTGATTTCATAAGTAGGGGGTCTACTTGAATCATGGAGAAATCACACACTTCTTTTGCAGGTTGGTCACGGCATAAATAGCAGATTTCACGCATGTGTAACACATCCACAAAACGTGCTGCTCATGCTGTGACTGATCCCCAAAAGATGTGCTTTCTCTGAAGCATTTTTCAAACAGAGGCCCCTGTTCTACAAGGGGATCTCAAGCCTATTAGGGGCTCATGGTATTGCCACCTTTACTTTGCCACTGTTGGTGCTTCTGCCTTCAAAGCTGGGCAACTGGCCAGCAGCCACTGCTGACTACTCTGCCATCAGAGCTGGCTGGCCTGACACCAGATTTCATGGATCTGACACAGGATTTTCACAGCCAAGAATTTGGTGGGCCTCCGTTCATAGGTTATTACCCCCATCTGCAAAGCTGACATATCCATAGTTCTAAAACTTTATATTTGGGAAATACACGGTACAAGAGGAGTGACTGCTACCCATTTTGTTAGCTCAGCCAACAAGTACTCAACCCACCTGAGAGTCTCCAAAACCATCTGTTTCTAAAGCAGAGGTGCCCAAACTGGTAGGAATGGAATGTTGTGGGGGGGAGGGGAAGGAGAGTTGCATGTTGATTTTTTTATTGGTCTCTGTATTTGTGTGGCCGACATGGGGTATGTCTACACTACCCCGCTAGTTCGAACTAGCGGGGTAGTGTAGACATACCCTCAACCCACCTGAGAGTCTCCAAAACCATCTGTTTCTAAAGCAGAGGTGCCCAAACTGGTAGGAATGGAATGTTGTGGGGGGGAGGGGAAGGAGAGTTGCATGTTGATTTTTTTATTGGTCTCTGTATTTGTGTGGCCGACATGGGGTATGTCTACACTACCCCGCTAGTTCGAACTAGCGGGGTAGTGTAGACATACCCTACTTGCTAATGAAGCCCGGGATTTGAATTTCCCGGGCTTCATTAGCATAAAGCCGGGGCCGCCATTTTTAAATCCCTGCTGCTTTGAACCCCGTGTAGCGCGGCTACACGGGGCTCGAACTAGGTAGTTCGGACTAGGGT